ACGGATCGGATAACAGCTCAAATGGCTGGCTGGAAGCCCCCACGTGCATGGGGGATCTGGTATTCAGCTTTTGCTTTTTGGGCGGGATCGGTTTTTGCTTTCTTGGATGGAGGAATTCTGATGAATGGGGCGCTTTTTTCTTCTGGGCACTTAAAGGTCAAGTTACGCATTCGTTGAGTCATTTACGCCCACGCTATGCTGTCTTTTAGAAAGAAGAAAATTCTGAATAATCTACTTTATACTCTGAAGTGAATAGCATGATTGTCTAAGGGCTATTTCGATGCTTTTTTAAGATACGGTCTTCATGCGTATGACGGCTAAATAGCCTATAAAATTAATTAATTATTTCATAGCAATATGACCGTTTTAAAACCTGTATCTAACCTAACTTTAAATCTAGATCTAAATCTAGAGCAACTTCGTAAATTCAAGGGTTAAATTGGCCCTGGTTAACGTGGTTTTCTGAATAATTAAAATTTGTGATTTAAATTTCGCAATTTCCGTATTATATTGAATTGTTAAGACCTTGTAAATTCAAGCTTTGATTTCCAGCGACCAGACAGATTAATAAAATCCCAATCCCCTCGATTCAACCCCTGACAATGCCTTCCATTTCGCATGCTTTTTTTTTGCAATCCCGTCAATCGGGATTAAATGGAATCCGTTGAATGTGAAAAAAGAAGAGCACCGGGACTCACTAAAGGGCCCGGTTGCCAACATGCCGACACATCGATCCTATGCCCCCATGGGCCCCCCTCATTCCTTCCTTTTTCTTCTTCTCGGCATGGCCATGGTTTTCTCTGGCCCTCGTCGTCGTCAAGACACACGCTACTTGTGGATGTTTGGCTTTCCCCCTGGCCAAATCTCTCCTTTTCTTTCTCTCCTTCTGTTTTTCTTGACGCACACCGACAAATGGCCAACTGACAACCTTAGCGACCCTCATCGATTTTGACCCTAGGCCCTGAAAGTTTTGTTTTGTCAGCTCCACATCTTGAAATTAATTTTTCTTCGTTTTTTAAGTTTGGAAAACGCAACCTAAACTGTTCGGAACCACGAAAAAAGCGCAGAAAATTTTTAGTGCCTTGTTTGTTTGATTTTGAAAAACCGCAAAAAAATTGTTAGATCCGCTTGAAAGCCGGAGACATTTTGTTTTTCAGCATTTAGAACCCCCCAGAACGGTGCCGAAAAAAATTGACAAACTTGCAACTGCCTAATCTTTTTTTGAGAGATTTAGAACAGGTTTTTCAAAAGACATATAGCCTAGAGAAACTCAGAACGATCAAAAAAAACGAAAGCACATTATTGTAGTTTTCTGAAAAAATTTACTTCCAAAACACCTTTGAATTGTTTTCTCTTTTTCCACTGCTTATTTGCACCTTGCAGTCATCTCCAAAATTCCGCTAAAAATCCTGAAAAAAATACTGACAATGCACGGGCACGAGCTCGACCCGCCACGGCCAGAGGAAGCATCGACACCTAGTGACGAGTAAGTGGTATTTCCTAGGGGTTTTACGCTAAAGCTAAGCCCAAGCCGGAACCTAAGCCTAAGCCTAAGCCAAGGCCAAATCCTAAGCTAGTCTTAGGCTATTTCGATCCCCTGAAGGGGTTATTTTCCAATTTCCAATTCCCCCTTCCCGAAATTGGCTCATTTCGTTGTGGCTGCCCTTGCGGCGGTTCGTCCTCCACCTCCGCGGGCTGGCCGCCAGCTAATTTTACGGCTGCGTCACCGGGCGGTTCCTCGGTTTGGCCCGCCGGGGAAAATGAGGGGGGACGGCCGGCTGGCGATAGTTTATTTGTGGCACCGGAAGCTTGTGTGCGGCTGAAGAGTACGTCATAAAACCAGGGCATGATTAAAAGTTAAGGAAAAGCTTAGGTAAAACAATGGAAGAGCTATAAATGCGGCACCCTTGACACCCCTTCCTACAGGGTCTCTGCTAGCTAGCCAAACTCTTAATTTATATTTCATGGAAAAGCCCAAAAATTTTTACGTAAATTCGTTCGATTACCAAAATAATTCCGGCTTGCTTGCCGTCTTCTTGATGATGCCGTCAATAGCCGCAATTCGTAAAAAAACTCTGAGCTTCGCATCACACCTGCCCGCATTCCTAAAAATTCTTTGCTAGTTTGACCTTCGCTTTATGCTTAAGTAGATCGTAGAAGAACACTAATTTGCCGTCTGAATCGACTCAATCCCCAAAAAACTCCAAAATCCCCCCTCATCACCCCCCACGACACTCTGAACCCGGCTTTTCGGCTTTTCTTGACAATGTTTCGTCACCATGCAAAATTCCCTCACGATTCCTAGGCCCCGTTATCAGCTCTAGCGCTCCTTGCCCAATTCGTTGACATCCGGTGCGAAATTTCACGTATTTGCTGGTGTGTGTAATGTTAACAAATTGGGAATTGTGAAATTCGGCAACCTTAAGACATTTTTTGAAATTGGCGCATGATGAAAAGAGCGATTTTGGCTGTATACAAGTTGTTTGCCGGGGCGTCCTTGGCGGTTTTGTTGGATTTGGCGATCAGCCAGATCGGACGCGGCGAGTGGGAAAATTTATTGGCATCACGCCTGAGAAAATATCACAAAACTATTGTTTGCCAATCAGAGAGGATTTTCAATATGAAAAATACCGTGGTCGCAATTTTTTTACTAATTCTTCAGCATTCTTTACGATTATGAGTGCGAACTCCAAAGTTTTCGGAATTTCCGCAAAATATCTAGCCCAAAATCTCCTATGTTAATTGCTATCTTGAGTGGAGTAATTTTCGCGCTTTCTCTCAAAGCTACCCAGCTTTTCCCACTCCAAAAATATCCCCAAAAACGTGGATGAAATCAACACCTGAAACCCATTGCCGGCTTTTCGTCAGTTTTGCCCCGGCTTTCTCTAATCAGTTCGTCACCCGACCTAATCTTGGCACTCGGCCAACACGCCGAAAACGGGCAAAGTTTATCTCGGCTCCCCTGGTTTGGGCAATCCCAGCACCCAGCCGGTGTGTTGAGAGCAAATGGCTGTGAACACGTGAGCCATCACTTCGCTCTTTCTCACAGCTTCTCTTCTTTGAGATCAGGGCAAAAAAACGCGTATTTTCACAAAACGAACAATACGATAAGGGGGGCGCAGGGCAGACGTGGGTCAAACACGTGTCTGGATTGGAGGGCTGAAGCCGGACCCCGGGAATTTCCACAATAACAAACAGAAAAAAGTCTGGGCCCGGCCAGCTGACCTTTTTGCCCAATTTATGGTATTGTTGGGCCCGGAAAGTCCATGTCAACTTGTATACAAAAGGAAAAACGGACACAAAAGCATTTGGCTTTCACATTGAAAATTTTTGGATGAGCTATGAGGTCATTAATACTTGATATGAAGTGTATTATGCCTTAAGCCTAAGCCTAAGCCGAAGCCTAAGCCGAAAACCTAAGCCAATCTAGCCTACGTTAACCTAGGCATCAGCCGAAGTCCAAACATAAGCCAAGCATCAACCTTACCTGCGTTTTACTTAAGCATAAGCCGAAGTCTAAGCCTAAGCCTAGAAACGAAGACTAGCCTAAGCCTATGCCTAAGTCTATGCCCAAATCCAACGCCAAGTCAATCCTCACTCGACTAGCTATTTATAGCCCCACACTTTCTCTATTTTCGCCTTTGGCTCTGATCGTCAAAAATTTCTGACATTCCGCCGGCGATCTGCGATCAAAATAACGCTTCGATCTTCTCGGGGGGCGAACACACGCGGGTTGGGGAAATCCAAGGGGTGGCCGCCACCACCCCGCCACATTTTGATAGCCGAGGCGCCGGGTGAAAATAGCCCCTCCCGCACAGACATACACAGTTGATCACGTGGATCCCGGGGTACGGTAGTCGGGGCGCCAGATAGGGAAGTTGAGTGGTGGGAGAGAGAGTGAGAGAGAGAGAGACGAAGAGACGAAGAGTGTAGCCTAGCTGCTCCGAGCCCGTGACGGTTTGACCGAAAAATCATATGCGACGAGAAGAAATTTTGGTGGGATAGCCGGGCGCATGGAAAAAGCGCATGATTGGAAACGAAATAGAAAGAATTTGGTTTTTTGGCTTTGGTTTTAGATGAAAAAATTAGGTTTAAAGGGAGCGTGACACCCGGCTTTTTGGGCCATCGATCCGGTATCATTAATGCGTGGGCTTTGATTGTGCTAAGGCTTAGGCATGGTCGGCTCAGGCTTATGTTAGACGTAAAATTATCTTTGTTAAACAGTGAAGTAAGCGCTACCGTACTCCTCGAGCGACTCCAAATTAGTATCGGCCATACCTTTTTCCTACCTTACACTCCAATTGACGACACCGCATTACACTAATATGCATCTTTAATCCCTCTATCATCTCAATTTCACCCCCTTACGCGACCCTTTCCAAAGTTGAGAGAACTTTCCGTTGTTCCGGGTTCTCGCTGTCGGGTAGACAATCGTCATCTTCAAAAATAGTCCATGTCTAGGGCATACTTTCCACTCAACCACCACCCCCACCTCTAAAAATACCCCCGTAAAGTAGCCCTCAAGGTTTTTTGTGGTCTCCAGGGCAAATATCCTAACCCCAATTCCTTCAAGTGTATGTTTGTATGTATGTAGTGAGACAGCGCCTACAGGGGGCGGAGCTTAACTGGGGCAAAAGAGTGTAGGATACGAAGAGAGGGGTGACAAAATAGTCGAGAGAGCATGGAAAATCGAGAGAGCCCCGATACTACCCCCAAAATGGGCGGTCGTCCGTGCTTTATAAGCCCGGGTCGCCGTGGGGTCCCTTGGCTTCTGTACCTACTGATACAAGAGCTTCAAACCACCCGAAAATTCCGAGAACTACCATGCTCGTCCACCCCTCAACTAGTCAAGCCCAATTCGGGGGTCTCCATTCCCCACGACAAAACGCGTCTTGCGGATCTGTTGGGCTGGCGAGGGCCTCGTCAAATTATAACTATGGCCCGACATCCAGCACAAGCTATTCCTTTAACACGAGATCATCTGGAGGATTGCATTCCAGCACGTCGTCCGCGAATGCTACTGCTTCGACACCGCCCATGGTTGCGATCGACTCGAAGATTGAGCAGGCGATGGTGAGTGTTTTTGAAGTTTTGATATACTATTTAGTTCTCTCCCTCTCTTTGTCTCACTCTCTCTCGCTATCTCCCTCTCTCTCTCTCTCTCTCTATCTCCTGCGGTAGGTTTCAATCATCCTATGGCGTTCTCCTTGAAACGTACGACTGAATAACAGTATACACAATATTTTCATCGCGTATTTAGTAACCTATTCGCATCGCAAAATCTATCTCTTAAATTTCTAATAAGATGTCAAAACAAATAATTATGATTTTCCTCTTTTTCCTACTTTTCTTGGATTTTTACCACACCATATTTTGCTTTTCCCGTCTGTCCCATCCCAAAAAAGCCATCATTCCACCCGTCAAAAAAACATTTCCGACCTCCAAAAAGCAAATCCCAAATTTCATTCCCCTTTTTGCAACCCGACCTGTAGTAAATATTTACCAAAAATCGGGGCACATCCCCGCCCGGATGTATGATCCGGACCCACCCCCCCCCCCCCCATTTTTGCCCTCAATAAAATCCTGCAAAAATTGCGAAAAAAGCTAGGCAGGTCTGGGCGCTGATTGCAGAACGGCAACGCCGGGGGTGTAGCCCCGTCAGGCCGGCGACGCTCCAAATTTGCTGATAAAATGCGTATAGTTGCGGGTTTGGACCCGGGCCTTTTGGTTTTTTGGGGGCTGGAAAACCCGAGCGTCACCGAAGCAAAGACTTATTAGTGACGGGCAGGAAAATCGAGGCGAAAATCCACGAAATTGGCGATAAGAATTGGAAATTGAGGGGGTGGGGATGGGAATCACGCGTTTCCCTAGGGGGTAGACAGGGCAATAGTCCTGTAAAAAGTGGAACTGTTAAGCGACAGGTGAAAACTGGAGCTCGATTAGGGTGGTGCTTTGAACTGTAGTCCAAATCGGATTAAGGGAATCAGAAAGTAATAAAGTGTCTAGGTTTTTGATCTCGTTCTCTCTCTCTCGCTCTCTCTCGCTTCTTCTGCACTCTTTGACGCTAAATCCCTTTGGAAACATGCCAAAAAATCACCGTCCGACCCTCCAACGGACAGGAACTTCCCTCTTTTTAAGATCGCCCTAAGCGCCAAACACAAAAAAAAATGGGTTTCGCTCTTTACCCCCCAGGGCAAACAAGATGCTTTTGGCATGAGACCGTGCTGGCAGACTGTTTGGCTCGGTTGATGAGGGGAATTTATGGCAGATGGGGGTAATTGATGACTTCTTTATTTCGCTCTCTCTCTCTCTCTCTCTCTCGCCAGCACCTTTTACCAAACGTGGAAACACAAAGTTATAACGGCGATTTAACCATTTTTTCAGGACCTCGTCAAAACCCACCTGATGTTCGCCGTCCGCGAGGAGGTCGAGGTGTTACGGGCCCGAATCGTCGACCTCGAAGCACACGTCAGTTTTATGCTTTGGCCCACAGACACGTAGAAGCAAAATATTTGACGAATCTGGTCCCCTTTTTCGATTATTTTGCCTTGAATCAGCTGGGTGACTCAGATGGCGATTTACTGAGTCATATTTATTATAGCCTAAAAAGGGCGTAAATCACAAGGTGCAGCTTTTTAAGGGGCTTCATGATTCAGCTAAGAATGTTGTAGATTGTAAATTAGGGAAGAAACTTCTAGTACATATCTCTCTCTCTCTCTCTCCTCTCTCTCTCTCTCTCTCTCTTTCTCAACCCCTACTCGAATTTTGTACCACGCGGAAATTGAGGAGAACCAAATTGTTTACTGCCTGTTGAGACGTCCTTCTCATTGAGAACCGAAGGACGGTGCGCTTTTTAAAAAACACTTCGCCATCGTTCGGCTCTCTTCAATTCCTTGCCCTGACGCGCCCTTGTCTTTTGGAGTAAAGGGGGACCCCCATCGAAAACAAACCTAGTGACATCAGGGTTCTTTTTGGAAAGTGCATAATCACTTCCTGATTTCATTCCCTCTCAAATGGAAGAATCGGGGGATAGGAGTGTAATGGAATTCTGCGGAATTAACGGGGGTTAGAATGGAGGAACTAGGTGATATCAATACCGGACAGCTAATTCACTCCAAAGAACCGTCGAAAGGAATGTAACGGAATTTGTCGGAATTAAAAGGGCTGGAAAATCAGTCTTTCAAAATTTCAGGGCATCACAATTCGTTACGATAAAAAAATAGGCGCTTGGACATTTCCAAAAAAATTGTAGGGTTTGAAAAATGGTGACTTGCAGTCGCTTTTAAATGATTAGGTCTCGATTAACATGCAATATAATTTTCACACCTAAGATTCTTAAATGCATAGTCCCCTGAGACGTCAACATCCACAGAATTGTCATTCAGTTACGATATGAATCTTAGAGCTAAAAAACCTGGACTTCCAAGTCTCTTTAAAAAACTGCGAAGTCGAATCGAAGCTAGAAACAATCGTAAAAACCTGATTTGCATACCAAATTTTATCTCCATTTGTTCAGTTGCACTACATCGAATCCGAGAACAACGTCCTCCGAAAATACGTGCCCGACGACATCCTGAAGCGGGTCGAGAATCGATAATTCCGAGGCGAAACTCCCAACTTTCGAAAAATCTACACAACCCATCCTCAGCGGACTTTGTCACACGCCTCCTCGTAGCGACAGTATTATTCAAATTCTCCTCAAAAAATCCCAAAATGTCCCTTTATCCTCGATTGCTCACGCCATTGCCTTTAAGAAATTCCCGGATTTTTACATGCTTACCTTTTTCTATTTTGCACCGATTCTACCGTAGCCACCCGTGTATCGCCTCCCAAATGCGTGTAATTCCCTGTACCCCTGGTGTTGTTCCCCTAGTCAATACGGTAGAAAATCCCCAATTTTTCACGTTGTACCCTAAAGAATCCGGTTGTACAAATGACAGAATTCTATGCGTCTCCCAGCACTTTCAAGCTCGATTCACTTCAAAAAACCCTTAGTTTTTGCGTGACCCCTCTGAAGAAATTCCCCCCGGTCGCTGTTGTACAAAAAGACGGTTAGCGGAATAAAAGAATTATGTGCAATTTTCTATTTAAATACGTCGAAATCTACAATGAAGAAACCACTTACAGTACCCAAAAACAGCGTCGCAGCAGTATCTATAAATTTATAAATTTAGACTAGCTACAAAACGCTCCGGATTACAGTATTTATTTCTCTACCGCGGTAATTCGATTCCCCACAGTACCCAGCGGAAGCTTTGTACATACCGTATTCGACGCATTTGACAGACACTACGCTGCTGGACGTAGAATGTTCCGTGTGAATGCGCCAAGTTTAAGACTTCCTGGTCCCTATAAACGCCAATAATATTTCGCCTCCTTGTTCTCTTACTTTCTATCTTTCTTTCTATCCATCTCCCTCTCTCTCTCTCTCCCAATCTCTCCCCATCTCTTCCAACCCTATACCATTTTCTTTCCGATTATTACAGCCCTACAACTCAATGAAATTAGCCCTTTGAACTCATTAGTTCCCATTTTCTCCCAAACCCATAAATCCCAATAACTAGCCACAACATCTTGAGGAAAAAACATGAAACATCGCCGAACGCACGCCACCGATCTTCTTCGCATTGCCCCTTCCTCAAAGAACTCGGGGAACTGGGTTATTTTTGGGTGCACGCGGTGGGAGAGACACCCTGGATATCTCTTCTCGATTACGGTATCTTCATTTTTGGGATTTGGCACACGTTGGGGGCATTCCAAAAAAGTGATGGGGGATCCTGAATGATTGGCGAGCAACGAGAGAGAGGGATAGAGAAAGTGAGAGAGAGAGAGAGAGAGAGACTAGGGAAGAGCAAGAACATGATCAGAGCCACCAGCCGCGGGTCAAAAATTTATAAGAATCGAGGAGGAAATCGGGGATACTCGACCAGATAGACTAAAGGAAAGTCTGGGAATGACTGGAAAACAGAGGGATCAATCAAAAACGTGATTTTTATTACACTTTTTGGGATCAGAAATCTTTTTTTATTTATTGGCGTTTTGGGGTGGACCTAGGAATTTTAAGAAATTTGTTCCACATGTTTCGTAAGCTCCAGCTTAAGCACAAGATAATCATTGGCTTAGGCTTAGGCTTCTTCGAGAGCATGACGCCTTCAGACCTAGAGCTCAACTCAACTCATAAATTGCACAAACTGGCCTTTCAAAGACCAAAGTCGTATCAAGTCCATAAGACAAAGCAAGCCCGATTTTCCTTCCCGGAAAACCTGCCTTGATCGCCGTCACCCACTGATTTTCTACCTCGTCCCACGTTGGTCTGGCTGGCCCACGCGCGTAGGTTCCTCATCCAAACCCCCTATTTCTGATGGTGAGAACACGTTCGATAGACTGCGCACGTCGTCCCGGATTACCGTATCTGGGTGTGCAGAACCGATGATGATGGATTGGCGGTGTGCTCGGGGATCGCTCATCAAAAATAGTGTTTTATGGGATGAAGGGAAAGCCAACGATCAGAGGGCTGGTTCAGTCAGCTGAAAGACAAAACCCCTAAGCCTAAGGAGGAATTCCGATAGCATCCTACTGACACTTATAGGAAAAACGAGAATTTTGGAGAATGTTGATGACAATTGCATCCAATTATAGCCAAAATCCCGACAACCAAAATCCCGACAACCAAAATCCCGACAGCCAAAATCCCGACAACCAAAATCCCGACGACCAAAATATCGAGACCCTAAATCCCGACAGATTCTTGACGCTGGTTTAAATGATTCTTCCACTTAAACAGCTATTTTTCCATCTCGGGACTTTCCTGACCTTATATACTAGATCTCGCTATCTTGAACGTCGGCATTTTTTTTGGCAGAATCTTGGGGTTTTGCTAACTCTTTCCGCTGGGCGAGTTTCTGTGGTCGCTCCGAGGCAAAAATTCGAAGCCAGTCATAGTTGTAGGTTTGTCCATTGTGAATTTTCTTTGGTCGACGCGCCGCGACACACTACGCAAGCCCAGCTGCCTGTGCGTCGCATGTCGCGCTTACGACAAAAGCTTGAACGCTTTGAGAAATATCCAAAAATTTTTGACGATGCTATTTTCACTTTTCGCTCGGCTGCCGAAAACCAATTTCTAAAATGCACCCAGCGTTTGAACACTGTGCCGATCGAACTACAAGCTTTTCCGCGCCGTTTTTTACCCACACACGTGCGCTGAAAGTTCATCTCCCACCAGCTTCCCCATGTCTAATTTGCCGTTCCATTGTCACCCTTCTGCAGACATCCTATTCTTGTCCTCCTCTACCCACTAATTCGCGCCCCCACCTACCGTACCCTGTTGCCAAATCGGTCCCCCAGCCGCGCGCTCGTACTCCGCCGATCTTTCAACGTCACGCCGGGCCGTGTCTCTCACTCGTTCGTGCTCTCTCATCTACCAGGGCGCAGACCTTTGAAGAAATGCGTCCCGGTCCAATATCTCTTGTGGCGGCGGGGGGATGGGTGGTGGTAGTTCCCTTCAAGCTGATTGATGGGCCGGCGATTTTTAGAGAACGGTAGGAAGAGAAGAGCCTTTTTTTTACCGGACTTTTCTACAACTAGCTGCTGCAAGATGGTCCCTAATTTGACGGGGTCGGCGGGACGAGCGGGAGAAGTCTGCAAAAGTTGGAACAGTGGTTATCTAAGAAAATTCCGCCAAAAAGGGTGATTCTCAAAAGCCAAAAAAACCGAAGCCCTTTTATTTAATTCAGAGAAAATCAGGTACTACACTGTTAGCGGGAGGATTTCAGCAAGGGAAAACCATTTTGTTTTTGTTTTACCACCAATAGCCTTTCATTGTTTCATGCATAAGGTATTTTTATAGTGTTTTTAGTAGTTTTTGATTGCTAGAAAATTAAAGGGCTGCCGACGGCATGTGTCGATCCCCCCTCATCAACAAATTGGCAAGTAGCCAACAGGGCAGAGAGCGCGCCCGGGGGAGAGGCGCAGAGACATTTTCTTTCCAGCGCGTAACCGATTGACTATGCCGTCGGCATCCCTTTAAAATAATATTTAAAAAAATTTTAAATGCGGACATTTTTACCCTTTTTGTCCATTTTTCATATATCTTTTCCCAAAAAGTCAAAAATTTTCATAATCCTTTTATAAATTTATTAAACTAAAAACTATGTTACTGGAAAAACTAAATTATTACTGGAATTATTACTGGATATTACTGGAATAAAAGTTACTAAATTACTGGAAAAAAAATTTGGGTTGCCCCCACGCCCGCTAACAGCCCAGGACCGAAAACGATACATCACTTTAGTGCGTGGTTTTGCGCCCGAACCGTCGTTACGACAGTGTAAGTTGCAATTGGGCGTAGCCAACCACGCGTAATTGGCATCAAAACTAATTCTTTTTATTTTATTGACCTTAAAACTAGGTTTTTCGGAGAAATTTTAATAAAAAGCTTCTCAAGCTTCTCCCTACCGCAGCCATTAGGCGATGGAATCTGCGCGAGAGGAAAGCGCCGCGGCCGCGCAACGGCCTAATATTACAGGCTATCGATAGCCGAACGGTTTCTACGCCGCTTTTTGCCGTTTCGGCTCTAAATTCTCTAACTAATAACCAAATGCCGGATATCGATGAACAAGCGCAAGAGCTCGAGGTGATCGAAAGCATTTTCCAGGACCTGATCAGCATTGTCGACGGGAAAAAGTGAGTTTTTATATTTAAAATGTATTAATCGAGCTTAGAAAAGGTATAGGAAACCCGCAGAAAGAATAGTGCATTTTACGTAGTTTGTAGATAGGAAAGTGCATTTTTACGAGCAAAAATATCGAAAGCTAACGTTTAAAAACTCAAATAATGTATTTTTCAGTCTTCGACTTTCCCTGGATGGTTTTACGGCCAGTATATCGCTTCCACCAGCGTATCCCTCGAGGTTTGGCAGTTTTAAAGTATTTCCTATACTTTTTTTCTTCAGTTCTCCCCCGGAATTCACCATCTCAGCCCCGACATGGTCCCAGGATCAGAAGCGCGAGCTGCAAAACGAGCTGAACGAGGCCTACGTCGAAAATATCGGGATGCCAATACTATTCTCTTGGATTAGTATTATGAAAGGTAGATCAAAAGAGTTTTTGGGCTAAAAACTACGTGTTTTATAGATTTTACCGATAAAGTGAACGGTTTGACGGAAACACAGACGACGCAGGACTCGATAGAAGATATTGAGGATGAGGAGCCCTCGAGCAGCCAGGTATAAATAATTATATCAAAATGTTTTGGTATTTTGATGAGAAAAGCTTTTTCAAACTCCATTTTGAGCGTTCTTTTTAGGAAATTGAGCCCTCGTATTCGACCCTACCCACCATTTTCACCGGCGAGACGTTCCACGACCGGAAGAGCATCTTTCAAGCGCACATGGCTCGTGTCAATTCGAAAGCTGAGGTCAGTTTTGGATATTAAAAGCTAAACCTCCTTTTTTCAGGTCGAAGCGGTGATGCAGAAACTTCTCCAAAACAACAAAATCGCGAAGGCGACGCACAACATCTTGGCGTGGCGCTGCAACGAGATGCGACACGGGAAATTGGTCAGGTAAAACTTTGAATAATGCAGTAATGGATGTTAAAATATATACTATATGTATAGATGTATTAAAAGCTGAGATCTACTGTTAGTTGAGCAACGAAAAAAAGTAAAAATATCTATTTTTTTCAGTTTGAAAGACTGTGAAGATGACGGGGAAACGCATGCCTCCGCCAAAATGCTTGACATCATCGAGAAGATGGGCGCCGAGAATGTGATGGTGGTCGTGACGAGGTATGTTTTTGAAGCTCAAGAATGTTAATGAAAAATCGTCACTATTTTCCTCTATTTTGACATTTTATAAAAACACATTTTTTCAGATGGTACGGCGGTGTCCACCTCGGCCCCGATCGCTTCCGCATCATTAACAACCTAACCCGCGCTATTCTGGCGGCCAATGGCATGGAAAACCGTCGTTAGGACGATTTTAGAATATCGCAAGTTTTTATTCCGTTTTTCGCACGTTTTTTGCTCGGTTTTTGCCTGCTTATCAAGGCTCTTTAGCCTTAGTCCAAAATTTTTCCTGGTTTTCGCGTGCCCAAATGATCATTTTTGATCGCTCCAGTCCCCCCGGGTTTTTATTTTGCATTTTGAATGCGTTAGATAAAAATTGTTTAGTTTTTGCATCTTATTATACAAAATACATCGAGAAAAGCTGAGAGAATGCACAGATCGAAACGTTACGCCAAAATCCATGTGATTCCGAGAAAAACAATAGAACTTTGCAAGCTGGCAGCTACAAAAGCGGTGTTCGGGTCTCTTTTTGGGGCCGTTCCTGGGTTGTAGTACGGACGACCGTGCGTCCCCATAGGTCCCCTTGGAATGGTGGTGATGAATACGCATTGACGGGAGCCATCACACCGATGTTGCGGGGGACAATCGCTAATGGAGGAGCAGGATCGAGCAGACTGGAAAAATATGTCGAATCATCGAAACTATGTTAAAAGATAGCTTGTCTCATAATATTGTAAAAAATTGGGAAGATATCATCTTCGAAGCTCCTAATTGCGCTAACCGAAAGTACATTTTGCGTGATGAATAATTTTGCGTATTACGTAGAAAACTACGCATAACTTAAATTTTCTAACAAGTAAGTGATAACTTAATTTGCTATAAGGTTTTTTTCTATCAGCTGTCTATTTAGCTTTCACCAATAACAGTTGCAACCAAAACCTACTGCAATCGCGAGAAGAAGCAAGAAAACAAAAATAGCTCTCATTTTTTAGAAAATTTTGACGTTTGACTCTTCTTCGGAAATTCGACAGTTTCGTTTTGTTGATATTTTGACGGCACGAAAATGTGTCATACCTAGTTACTAAACGAAATTAATTCAAGTGGTGTCGCGAAATGCACTAAATATGTCGGATTCGTCAATAGCAACAGTTGGGAAACATTTTATTTGTTTTCAAAAATATCCACAAAGCCAATCAGACTTGCTGCAGGTGGATTTCGTGAGGCATTTCGAGCAGGTTATTCCTTGGTCGTACGCTTTTTCGCCCATCCAATTTCCCCTGGAAAAATGATAAGAAAGTGATTAAGGCCCAAGCCTTACTGCTTGAAATACCGGTCTGCCCTGCGATTACTTGTCGAAACGACGGAGAGTTGGGCCAAAGCATCGTCCTAGAATCTCGAATCCAATTTTTCTAATTTTTCGATACCTTTTCCTTGGTGACAGTGGCGAGCTGCTCCTTCAACGTCGTTTGTTGCTCAGCCTGATTCTCTAAGAGCTTCAACAAATCATCTCTCTAGCTGCCAGTCTGATGGCTTGCCAGGCGGCCTCCATCTTTGAGCTTTACAGGGTGGCCCGAAAGAGTGGTGACCAAAACTTTTTCGATTTGCTGAAAAGCTTTAACTGTAGAAAAGTTCATATCAACACATTATATTCCTTAAGCAATCATCTTTCACTTGGCATAGTCAAATTTTTCTTTGTCTACCTCAAACTCGGAAAAACTAGCGGCCGCGATGACGGGAAAAGGGGGTGCAATTGCATTCAATCCGAATCTAGCTCATAACTTGACGAAGACTTTATCGAGTGAATCCGAAAATGGATGAGAAGTAGCCAAGGCTTTGTCTATTACGGTAAAAGGTACAATTCAAATCGGCGGGGGGAAAGATTTAGGCGGGGGGGAAACCGAATTTTTTTCCGCCCAAGCCTATGTTTTTTATATAAGTAGTGAAAATGTTTCTAAATTGTTTATAGCTATTCCTAAACATCAAAACTTTACAAAACTTCATTAAAAAATTTAATTTTAGGTCTAAAAATCATTTTTTTCGGCCCAAAAATGACAAAATTTTCGACTTTTTCAAGCGTTTTGCTAACTTTTTAAAAGGTTTTTCCGATTCAAATAGGCTTAAATTGTGCTAAAAACAATGTGAAAACACTTTATATTTGATTACTATCCCCACCAGGGCCGACAAAAAAAAGTTGGTTTCCCCGCCTATTTGAATTGTACCCGGTAAAATGCAATTCGCCTAATGCGCCTAATTTTTACCCACAGGAATTTATTTTACTTTTTATCGATTTCAAAAGTCCACGGCCTTGAATTATGAATTAAAGGCCTAATGGCAAAAATGGGATGGATTGTGCGCTGCGCGCATGGCCAAATTTAGTGTAAACCAGCGCTGACCCCCCGCTCCGCGGGGGTTCAGCGCTGGCCCTCCCGGGGGGAAAAAGTAATAATAAATAGTAATAAATCAACGTCCCATACACCGAAATCCCGAAATCCCGAAACGCCCCGGGCTCCCGGACCCGTCCGAACCGGTTCTGGGGGTCCCGCAGCGATCCGGTCGGACGGGCGGGCGGGCGGACGGACGGACGGGCGCACGAACATTAGAAATTTATATATTTAGTGTAAATTTATAGAAAACCGAATCCATAGCTATGGAAACCGAGGAATTCTGCGTGCCATTAGCTCCCACCCAGTCAATTGAGCCCCAGCTCGCAGCTGTTGTGCAAGACACCCAGTGAGTAGGGCCATTGGGTGTCTGCCAGATTATCTGCGTCTAGCCCCAAGGTCGGCGTATAGCGAGTAACAGGCCATTCAGGAACCACGAGATATTAGCATGCCTGAATGGCCTGTTCCTCGCTATACGCCGACCTTGGGGCTAGACGCAGATAATCTGGCAGACACCCCCCAATGGCCCTACTCACTGGGTGTCTTGCACAACAGCTGCGAGCTGGGGCTCAATTGACTGGGTGGGAGCTAATGGCACGCAGAATTCCTCGGTTTCCATAGCTATGGATTCGGTTTTCTATAAATTTACACTAAATTTGGCCATGCGCGCAGCGCACAATCCAGCCCATTTTTGCCATTAGGCCTTTAATTCATAATTCAAGGCCGTGGACTTTTGAAATCGATAAAAAGTAAAATAAATTCATGTGGGTAAAAATTAGGCGCATTAGGCGAATTGTACTTTACCGGAATAGGCAAAGCCTTGGCTACTTCTCATCCATTTTCGGATTCACTCGATAAAGTCTTCGTCAAGTTATGAGCTAAATTCGGATTGAATGCAATTGCACCCCCTTTTCCCGTCATCGCCGCCGCCAGTTTTTCCGAATTTGAGGCAGACAAAGAAAAATTTGACTATGCCAAGTGGAAGATGATTGCTTAATGAATATAGTGTGTTGATATGAGCTTTTCTGCAGTTCAAGTTTTTCAGAAAATCGAAAAATTTTCGATCACCACTCTTTCGGGCCACCCTGTAAAGCTCAAAGATGGAGGCCGCCGCGGCAGAACCATCGGAGCTGCAGCAGCTTGGGAGAGATGATTTGTTGAAGCTCTTAGAGAAGCAGGCTGAGCAGCAAAAGACGTTGAAGGAGCAGCTCGCGGCTGTCACCAAGGAAAAGGTATCGAAAAAAGTAGAAAAATTGGATTCGAGTTTCTAGGACGATGCTTTGGCCCAACTCTCCGTCGTTTCGACAAGTAATCGCAGGGCAGAAAGCCCTGAAAATGATCGTGAACAACAGGTAGTTTTAGATTACCTTTGTTCCTGTGCGCTATTAGAGTATACATTAAGTATTAAGTTTAATCATACCTCTGAAACATGTATTCTTTTCCAGCTCGAAGACCTACGCCTGGAGTTCGAAGCAAAACTGGCAAAGGAAAAATTCGCGTCTCAAGAAGTCAACAGCTCTCTGAAAGCTATGAAAATGGCATTGGCGGATTATGATAAACAAGTTATTACACAAAATTTAATTCAGGAAAACTTTCTAGATCAAAAAAATTTAAAGAAGAGAAAGCGTCAAAGGCTTCGAAGCTCGAATCTGCCCTGAAAGACAGAGACGAATTATCAGCCCGGCTTGGGAATCGTGGAAGCAGAGTTGGCCAATGTAATGAATACCTCAGGACCACATTAAATCTTGATTTTTAGACAAAGCAATTCAGCGACCACTTGGAGAAGGCGTTAGAATGTGCAAAAGCCGAAGCTGAAGGTATGCAATGGAAGGTATAACCTGAATCACGACACTTCAGAGCTACGACTCCAAAAGCAGGACGCCGAAAGTCAGAGGATAGAGTTAATGCAGGTGAAGATGGACGAGGACAGCCATAGGTATTTTTAGACGTTTAATCGTATTCATACAAAATGTACAGTTCGTGGGAAGTGGTGGATTTGACAAATGAGCTATCGCAAAACTCCGAGCAGATCGAGTCATTAAGATCAGCTCTGGTTTCTGTTGAGGTAAGAGTTGAGTTTGAGTAATACATTAAATATACATTAATATACGCCATAATTAATAACTCATATCATACAGGGTGACCCAAATAAACGAACCATCTGACATTTCGCCGTTTTACATCCAATCGGCCCCAAAATTGGACCAGAGGTGTATCAAACCCTAAATAACAACAATCCTGAGTTATAGCCCCGTAGCTACAACATATTTTTAGTTATACTAAAGACAAACTTTATTTTCGTGTTTCATAGGGTTTCCGTAGGATTAGACCCATTAAATATTAAGCGAAAATGATTCGGCAGACCTTCTTTACCTTCATAAACTTTTTCGATGATGATTTATTGTTATGACTTGGGAACCACTATAACTATGAAGCTATAAGTCAGGATTGGTGTTATTTAGGGATTGATACACTTCTGGTCCAAATTTGGGGCCGATCGGATGTAACACGGCGAAATGCCAGATGGTTCGTTTTTTTGGACACCCTGTATGTATAACATTATTGAATATCTAACTAGCTGTTTCCCTCTCTCTTTCTTTCTTTCTTTCGCTCTCTCTCTCTCTCTCCCCCCTTTTCGCATAATAATGCAGATTTCATGAAGCGCTGCTTTCCGAAATTATGGTATTTTTAATTTCGAAATTCCTCGCTGTTCGCTCCCCAACTTTCACCCCCTCGCTCTTCATTTTTCCGGCAAATCCGCGGCAATCCGAATCACTGCGTTTTAGACGGGGCCAAGCTTCTGTGACTTCACGGTCGCTGTACAACACGCCATCATGCGATATATGGATGTGAAGGACTTCTTCAAAACAGCCATCACCAGCAAGAAAACGCTAGAGGTGGCCAAGGAATGCAGCGACAAGCATTGGGATGATGTCAGCATTTTGGAAGATGGGGCTGGTAGAAGATATTTTTCGCAAGCCCAGGGAAGGGCACACTGCCCAAGTCTCCAAATTTTCAACTTGCTCTTCCACCGCTCGACGGTCTCGAAGTTGACGCTATTCGGGAAGACGTCGACCTCCGTAGCTACCGATCTCCGCGCAAAAGAGTTTGACCTGAATTTTCCGGACCCGGAATTACTGGCAATGCTGGTGCGTCATCGGCCAGCCGGAGGATATGGGATGCTCTCGATTCAACAAGCAATTCCCGCAAATAAGGAGTTGCTCCAATTTTTAAGCGAATCGGCTGAAGTTTTGAAGTTAAATACCGTGCTCCCAATATCGCAATATACCCAACTGAAGATGCCCGAGATTCGCATGGAGGCCAATCGGACAACGCGATCGGGATTGGAGGCATATCTGCAGGTGGGTTTGCTATCGCAACTCGGAAGTCCCGATGTCGAAATTCATAATGTCGAAAGTTCAGAATGTCGAAATTCGAAATTTCATAATGTCGAAATTTCTTAATATGGGAATTTAATAATGTCGAAATTCAGAGATTATGTTGCATAGGATCCGCGGGGATTTTCCGGAAAAATTCGCGTATGCACATTTCGACATTCTGAAATTGCGATATTATGGAATGTCGACATTCCGAAATTTTGACAATATGAAATGGGTAAAGGTCGCTTAACGGGGGGAACAAATTACGGGGGTCGAAACAATTTTTCCCTATAGGGACCTGGTTGTACCAAATCAAGCATGCCATCGGATAAAGCGTCGAAAAATATACTAAAAGAATTAATTTCGGCCTGAGATAATATAACTTAAATCGGTTAATAAAGAAACAAAGTTATGGGCCGTCGATGACGCATAACCATAAGGTGACCTTAATTTTTGTTATTATTTGGCTGTTTTAACCGGATTTCCTCAACTTAAATTTTTTAGTATAATTTTCGACGCTCTGTCTGATGACGTTGTAAAATAGGAGGATGCTCTATATAAAAACAAAAAATGTTTCCATCCCCTTTACTATTTGTGTCCCCCCACCTCCCGTTAAGCGAGCATGACCATGAAATGTGCGATGCCAAGATGCTAGAATATTTTAATTTATAAAAGATCCGGGAATTCCATAACGTCGAAATTTCGCAACCTCGAGGTTCACCAAGTCAATTTTTGCATGAACGCACCTCCCGAAAATTGCCAAATACTATACAAAAAAAGTTTCACCATATTGAAATGTCGATGTTGTGAAATTCCGACGCTATTAATTTCGACATCATTATCAATTTGCAGGTGATACTTGCGGAATGGCAAGCCGGCGTGCGCGAAGTCCGGATAATAAACCTGGTCTCCAACCCACTTTTCGACACAATTGATCCCCCGCTGCTTCTCGCGGAGTACCCAAAATTTTTCCGGACTTACGGCCGTGAATGTGTCTACTACCGCGTCAGCAGAGAGGATGGTGCTGCGCTGCTTGTTCGATTCTTTCTCACGCTGAATATTGTGGAAATTGCCGACGTGGAGCATACCGGAATCGATGATGATGATGATCGTGACCTTGCGTTGATGGTATTTGTATTTAATGGTGAATAAATCGACCTGAACAGATTTTGATAAATCACAAGCGGAGTGGATATAAGACTGGAAGAAGATTAGATCGTGAGAGGGACAGGCCTGAGAGAGAGAAAAGAGAGAGAGAGAGAGAGAGAGAGAGTGAGAGTGAGAGAGAGGGGGGAGGGGAGGGCGAGGAGAGAGAAAGTGAGAGAGGGAGATAGGAAAGAGAGGAGATTGAGCGAGAAAGAAAGAGCGAGAAAGAGAGAGAGCGAGAGAGAAAGAGAAGGGGAGAGACCGAGAGGGAGACAGAGAGGGCGTGAGGGTGGGAGAGAGAGAGAGAGAGAGAGAGAGAGAGAGAGGGGCGTGCAAAAGTGAGAGAGAGAAACACAGCCATCTCGTTTATATTGATTTTTTATGTAATTTATGAGATCTTCCAACTTTCTCATCCTTTCTTAGCAAGCCAGATACTCTCCAATCGCTGCATCGGTCCTAGTTCTTTCTGTGGTAGCGGAGATCTTAAAGAGTGTACTTTCTTTTCCGGATCATAATATTATTTTGTTGTATTTAATGTCGATGCATTGATGGTAATGCAATAGGTGATCATAATCACAACAGGGTCATATAAGTTACAACGTGAGCCAGACTGCAGCGCCAGTCTGTCCGGCTAGGAGGCAACGCGACAATTGCCGTGCGACACACTTCAAATTGCCGGAGAATGTGGGCGTCGTTGATCGTGAACCGCATGGGGAAGAACGAAGCGCGTGTTTCACCTCTGAAAAGGATTCTGGTCAGTGTTGCTAGTAGGGAAACGTCAAATTACGATACGATTTTTTTTTGCTTACCAGTCTATATGATCGCCTTCGAGGATATCGATGAGGGTTTCAATCGCGGCACCAAACGGCCTGATCCACCGACTGTTTTAAATATATTCCTCTTGAATAGCTCCCTCAGCCGTCGCACGATATCCGGCCCTCTTCCTCCAGCAAACGAAGGCATACCAGACGACCGGTTACCGCGCCAAGTAAAGCTAGTATCAGTGGCGGCTTCATTCTAAAAACATATTTAAATATAGGCGATTAGCAAGAATTATTTAACGGAAACGGCGAAAAGAGGATGGCGGGTGGATCAATGGGCCACTTTGCAGGCCACATACACTTTTCGCAACAAACCCACCGTTGCGTTCCATTTTCGGTGGCCATGTTTGCTCGTTTCTACGCATAGTTTTTCAACGCAACGCGAAACCTTGGAGGATTTTCAGCATGATGGGCATATGGCTGAAATATGATAATAACATGTCTAGGTAAGCTACCGTGAAAAATTAACATCTAAACACCCCCTAAAGTTCAAGAAATGGCGCTACTTACCGTCATCGAATTATTTCACGAGATCATGAAGCGCTTTTCGTGGGAAAGCGATGGGTTTGGAGAAATTTCCGCAAGTCGGGCCGAGACCTAAGAACACAAAAAGGTTTAGAACGATAAATCTAAAAATTTATGAAAACGATCGGGAAATACGGAAATTTATCAGCTCTATGAAGTTTTGTCCTTCGATCGAGCTGCAGCCGCTCGATTTTTATTACTGAGCGAGTGAGACAGAGAGAGCGAGAGAGCGAGAGATAGGGTGAGCTAAGAGAGAAAGCGATAGAGAGAGAGATCGTGAGAGAAAGATAAAGAGAAAATTCTGTGGGATAAAATTAGGTAAAAATAAGGAATTCATGGCATTAAAAAGTAAAATTCTCAAAATTTGTAGCTTGATTTCATAGCATGGCGTAGCGCGCAGTTCTATATCTAGCCGGCCCCGTCGCCCGATACCAATCGAAAATGCCTCGCCAAAGGGTGCCTTGGGGTCAGCTGGCTGGGGCCGGGCGGGCCCCCGGCTCACCCTGCCGCCAGGATGGGTCGATAGCAAAGTAGTTCAGTGTGAGGTGGTCGATAGCTACGCACGAATAGACTTTGCATTTATCTGTCCCTTTAAAAGACGGTAAAGGCCTGGTGAGCAAAAGTTGCTGTGTATTGTTGAAGCGAATATTTGTAAATCTCCGTTTTTTTTTGCGACGGATGGGGGTGTTTGATATTTTATTGGCCCGCTCGATTTTCTATTCCTTAAGGCATCTATGCACACAATCCACTGGCAGCAACGCATTTCGTGCCGGCTGGACATTTCGAGCATGTCGTCCCCTGGGCGTAGGCTTTTTGGCCGACGTAGTTGCCCCTGGAAAAGGAAATTATGGGATTAAGGTGAGAGAGAGAGAGAGAGAGTGAGAGTGAGAGTGAGAGTGAGAGAGATTTCACACGACTTACGGTGGCCAATAACGGCAGACAACAAAGTACGACTTGTCGCCAGTGCAGTACTGATATCCACATCCAACCGTCGTAGTGGTCGCCCAGGCCATCTTAATAAAAAAAAAATCATATTTTAGGCCATAGCTTTTAAGAACCTAAAGCTCCAATGCCCACCTGCGTAGCATGTCCGGTATTCGACGAGAAAGTATATCCAACCGGTCCGTACGTGTAGAACTCGTTGGACCAAGCGTTACTGGCGGCGGTACCTTGATTTGAGATTAAAATCAAGTGGTTAATAGTACAATCTTACCAAGTCCTGCCAGCTTTCCACCCCAGATGATGTACAGATTCTCACCAACTCCAGCTGCTCCGGAATGCTTCAGGCCGGGGCAGGTGTTGGCGTAGGTCGAGGCGCCGTTAGCCAGGGTTGCGTTCCAGGCCTGGAGTTCGAGAAGTTCAGAAAGAGAAAGAGAGAGAGAGCGAGAGAGAGAGAGAGAAAGAGAGAGAGAGAGAAAATGAGGGAGAGAGAAGCGAAGTGCACCTACCATTCGCCGCATATTCGTCGCCTTGGCGAACACCACGCCAGCTTTCGACTTGTATGTTCCTTTAGCCAATTTTGTACGGAACGTGTTGTGCGCCTAGAAATTTAAATTTTAATGAAAACAGGCAACACTCTTTCTGACCGGAATCTAATGACTTACAGCAAGAATTTGGGTTTGTTGAGCGGCCGGGAAAACGACAGCAGATGTCACTAAAAATGTTATTTAATAAATTTAAAGCAGCCGATTTTGATTAATTGATTCAAAGGTTTGATTTTCAAGCACATCGCTGTCTATACTTATACTTTGAAGTTATAGCACGAAACGATATGTTAAAAAATTTTTGACAAGCCATTTACGTTAGCAAACTTACATCCAATCAACGCCAAAAGCCCAGCCCCGAGTACAAAAAGCGAATTCATGGCGCCCAAAAATGGCCATCCCCAGTTTGAAGCGCCGTTTTATACGAAATATGGTCCCGATTGGTCTCGAACTAACCGCAAACGAACTAGCCGCGTGAGGATTGCACTCTATAATCCGACCGTTTTTCCGGCGCTCCCAACTTCCGCGCTTCAGTTTTTTCGCGAAAAATCGTCTGATTGGATGAAAACCTGCACTTAATCGTCCGATCTGGCAATTAAAAATAATTTGAATGGCCGGAAGTTTGGGAGGATCAGTGTTTTGAAGCCTCACGTGGTAGGTTCAAGCTTAAAGGGTAATCTGCCAGGCTGTACTTTTTTGGATTCGAGAGTTTAAGATAGAGAGCGAGAGAGAGAGAGAGAGAGAGAGAGAGCGAGAGATAGAGAGAGAGAGAGAGAGAGAGAGAGAGAGAGAGAGAGAGAGGTAGAGCGTGCGAGAGTGAGAGGGAGAGCGAGAGAGCGAGTGAGAGCGCGAGAGAGAGGTAGAGGGAGGGCGAGAGAGGGACAGAGAGATGGAAAATCCCTTTTCTCATTGGCTCTTTGTATTTACTAGCTTTGTTTTAACGACCCTAGGGAAGGTCGCGAATGGCACCCAAGGCAATGGTTAGGCTTTGAATTTACAAGATAGCAGAGCATTAAAATATAGATAAATAATAACAATCCACAAATAAAAAACATCCCTTGGCATTTGGCCGTCTTCTAACGGATCGGGACCAAATTTTCACCAGCGATGGCCCATAAAAATAAGGAATCTACCGACTTCGCGCTTCAAATTTCGTCTGTTTTCTGAATGCCTTTATTCGTCGATGCGAGGTCTTTTTTGATGAGCAGGTCGTATTTAGGACAATTTTTCTTGTCGTACCTTGACAAACAGACGTGATTTTTGCCACGAAAGACTTTTCCATTATTTTATTTTAATACATACAAAACATGGCTTTATTTCAATCCTTTCTCTTATACCGCCTTTCTCTTCATTTGCACGACATTCATTTTCACCTCTGGTTACCTGAAATTTGAGGTTAATTTTTATGGAAAAAAATCAAAGATTTTCCCTGAATTATAGCAATTTTTTTATATCTTGGAAAACAGAAATTGCCTGCCTAGTTTAATTGAAAATTCCGACTAGACTTTGAAAGTTGATCTCATAAAACCACCATACCTTTTCCGGACGACGTGCATGGGTAGCTACGCGGATTCTTTCCCAACAATCGTTCCGCTGCAACGAAAACCACATTTTTTCGGGTTCGGCCTTCAGGTCGAACGGCTCCTTGATTTTACCGCTTCAAGTTTTTCGATCTTCGCGAAATGTTCGGTTTCGATTGCTTGCAGAAATTCGAATGTCGGAGCGTTTCATTGACCTGAGTATTGTTGAGGTTCCACCTGACTTTCAAGGGTAGCTGTTTCAACAGCTTTGTGCAAGCTCCCACTTTTCATCTGGCACTAGGCTCCCATCGCTCCTTCGTAGATTTTTCTTTTATTCTTTAAGGATGGTGCTGGGGCTCGCACCTCACTGAATTTCAACTTTTCCAGTTGTGCGCTGGACACCCCTTAGCCGTGGAGGCAAGCGTCCACCGCTGAAGCGACCCAGGCGGTATTTCCGCCCAAACGTTTTTTTTTACTTTCCGGGGAAGTATCTATTGACTTCTGGGTCCTAGCTATTTATGGTGAAAACTTCTCGGCATCGAAAATTCCGACACGCTGTTAACCTTCGCATTCCCCGACATTTTTCAATTTCTGGCGTTTTTCAGCGACTGAATGTAGTCGCCACTGACCCGAATTTTTCGAGAGTAGTTCGTTCATTTTCTGGATTTGTGCGTCTACCATTTCGTGACCTCTACGGGCTGTACTGCATCCAGGAATTCGTGCACCGCCTCGTAGATATATTCCGTTTGAGAGCAGGGTCGGAGAAGTATTCGCACCTATATAGAGCCACGCGGCTGTCGTGTGATATTTTAAGCATCCGATTTTCCCCTGTCTACGGTGACCTTTTCGTTGTGGTTCATCGATAGCTGTCCTTTTAAGAACAGAACTAGCAGCAAAGTGCGTCAGTTACTGAACGCCGCCAACAAAGCTGCGCATGCGATGATAATTCCTTCGTATCCGGTTCATGACATGTGGAGGAATCCTGTAAATTTTTGAAATTTTACTCTTTAATGCGTCACATGGTGGTGTCCACCCAGTGTACGATTTTTTGGTGGCTGATACTAATTTATAGATAACTACCAAATATTTTCGGAAAGGTGAGTTTAGACGCTCGATTCGATTTTCGGAATGACAGAGTTTTTGCTCGATTTTCGGCATTTTTCACGGAAAAGGGACACGCTCCTTTTGCCGAAGGGTTTTTAAATGCCGTTTAAAAATTTTATAGCCCATTTAAAACCCCCACTCTCGCTATCGCTCACAAATGTTTTTTGTCGTCCAAAAAGTTTTAAAATGCGGAGCGTTGGCAAAAGTGGTCGTAAAAGTAGGAACAATTCCAAGATTTCAATTTTCAATTAGAACACTTGGACTCGCCTTTCAGAGGGCTTTCGATGAATACAAAAATCATGAAAAACGGACATTCCCTCGCGCCGCCGGGGCGGGGATTTTTCTTGGCACGCCCTGCTTAGATAATATAACGAAAACAACGTAGATAACTAACCATTTTTAAGCAATTAAGATGTGCAGAAATACGCCTCTTGAGAAAGCGCAGGAATTGGTGAAATCGCCACAAGCTGAGGCGGAGCCTGTAAAATAAAATCCAACACGAAGTCCGGTAGCGACAAAAATAATTAATACACAAAGCAAGTCCGGGAGCTGATCTTTAGAAACCTAAAAAATGACAGGAGAGTGTCTTGCCGTAAGGGTCTATGCAAAAGGACCTAATCGACCCATGGTTGCGTACCCGTCTTTGCATATCTAGGTCAAGCAAATGGCCTTGGCCCTAGAGGCAGATCAACACTGCGCAATCCAAATATGCCAGATTTGGCTCGCGGACCTGTTTTGTAAAAAATATTTTTAGTTTTTCAAACTGTGTTTTTAGTATGATGTATTAAGCGTAGATAAGTGTCAATACCGAATCAACAACCATCGCGATATTGCAAGCAGAAGCACAAGAAAAAGCCTCTCGCCCATCGCAGTGGCAATTATTATAATCTATTCATCTTTTAAAAACAGTCGGAAGCCGAGAAAAGAATACTATAAGAAAGGTGGCGCAGAAAATAGAACCGTTTATCAATTAGTTATCGACATATGAAAAAGAGTTCATAACCACACAGGAATTCACACAGGCATTTTATTCCATTTACACCGACTATTCCCAAAACTTCATGCATGACATTGAAGCTGAAGGCTATATCAGCTAAACTGAATCGGAGAGGCAAGAGGGATACAGTAGCGACGTTGATCCTTCGCGCTCTGAAAAAGAATCACCAGTGAAGAATTAAGGTAAGCAAGATCATTAATTTGGGACCGAGATAAAATTCCCAGTTTCGAGATTGATTTTTCGAAACCATGACAGATTCCCTGTGCACAGCTGAATTTATTATAGTTGTAATGATATAAAATCTTTCCGAGTTACCGAGTGAAAACGAACCTCTGGGCTTTCACAATTCCCTTGACGCTCACGTGGTTATAGCCAGCGACATAATTTTCGTCAACATTTTTCACAACGAATACGATCGAGTCGATATCACAATGACCTAAAAATTTCAATAATCGGGTACGAAAATTGATGTTGCATTTGAACAACACATTGCTGCGATGCTTGTAAGCGAATTTGATCGAAAAACTAGAAGATATTACCTTGCTGCAGATATTGAAAGAGGAGTGGTCGACCATTACGTCTGCTGCCGAACTTTCCCCCTAAAAAAACAAAAAAAAAATGCGCTAGGTTTTCAGAAACTTACATAGGTTATTGTTGTAAAAATTTTCCAGTCATCGATGCAGGTTTTTCAAAATTCCTTTTGGTAACGTCATTGGGCGTATTTCTTGTGCTTGATATTGTCGCTGAAAAGTAGAATATTAATACAATTTAATAATACAAATTTAGATACCTTGGGCACTTTTTACCAGAGCATTTCTCTCAGGTTAGGTTAAAAAGTAAAATGTGAGAACATTTTATGATTTTATATTGTTCCTATATCTAAAGATCTGGTAAACTGCTATAAAAATGGTTTATATTGTTATAAGGCCGTAGGAGTCAGAGGGAAAAATTTGGTTTCCCCCGCTACAAGCCCACCCCCTCCCCGCTAACAGTCCAGAACCGCAGCTTCCTGACGTATCGCAAAAGTAATGCAATTCATCCAAACCTACCTTTTTCAATTAGTTTAACTGCATCAAAATTGATGACCAGCTGTCCGCGTCTTTTAACGAAGACGTATCTGTTGGAATAATTGCCACAAGTCGAGACAAAACCTGAAAATTTAGATTCTAAAAGACTCGTCGAAATTCGCTATTTAATGGGAAATCGCAAACAGGGAAAAATTGGCTCAAAGGTGAATGTATGGGAAAAGTCGACAGGACATTTTGTCATTTCGGGCTGAATGGCGATGGGGCGAAACGCTTGCTAGATTTGACCTCGTCCTAGCGGCAGATGTGACTCCGCGAGGTTTTTATCACTATCTGGAAACTCAGGGCTCAATTAGGAGGATCTGATAATGCTGTTTGCACTAATGGCCGAGTCAATATTTAACAACACTTACGTTTTACAAACAAATTTTTTCCTATAGATAACATACTAATCTAATAATTAGGTATTTTCAGACATAAAAATTTAAATTTAAATCGAATATGATGCTTTTGATGCATCCCTCATGAAATCGATCATGTAATGAACTAACTACCTCACAAGTTTAGAGTAATCGGCTTTTGATACCATAGATTGAACACAAATACCGATGTCCTAATTCGGGATTGATCCTCGTCGTCAGGGCCGTAACAAACCCAAATTTCGGGGGGGGCGACCCCAAAATTTTTTCATTAATATGACTAAAATTACAGCGCCGCAGGCAAAATTTTTGAAAACATAGGGTTTATAACACTAAAAGTAGTGTTAAAAATAGACAAAAACAGCGCCGCAGGCAAAAAATTTTTTGGAAAAATTAAATCATAAGGGTCCCCCCTTATGTACTTTTCGGCCTTCGGCCGATTTCGGGGGGGGGGGCGGCTCGCCCCCCTCGCCCCCCCCCCTCTTACGGGCCTGCTCGTCGTAATATATCATAGAAATTGGTCGTTTTTTCATATATGGGCCGCGTGGGTCACTCGGCATTCTACTACTCGCAGTTCTCACATCGTTCAAAAATGAACAAAAATCATTTTAGCGACTTTATGTCCGTGTGTTAGGCATAAAATTACTTATTTTCTAATATTTTACATTGAAAAGAATTAGTACAATACAATTAGTAAAATGTATATTTTACATTGAAATATTTTATCAAATTGGTTACATGGAAGATGCTGTAGTAAATACCGTCCGTTCCGTCTCGGGGAATTTTGCGGCGGGATACTGTGCTTTTCTAGGTATTATTGGATTTTAAACATTTCCATATTTTTCGATTTTTCGCGTTGTTTTAATCCTTTCCTCGGAATACTAGGGAACTGTCGCACGATTGCTGCTGAACTGTTGAACGTATGATGATATTTTCTTTGCGTCCGAAGCCACTTTGCGACCTTCACCCTCCTCATATCGCGCCAAAGAAGCGGTCGGGATGGGGGATGCTAATGGAGTTTCGCGACGCAGCCTCTGCCCGCTAAGAAAAATCAAGAAAATTAGTTTGCCGCATAAACCCATTGGCAGAAACGTAATTGTTGTATCTTGAAGTGGTGTTACCTTGAGGTTGTGTTGCAGTCAGATATGAGGTTAATGATCATGGTAAAAGTTTATTCGGGCATCGAAATTCGACGTGGATTTGAGGAATTAGAACAAATAGTTATGAGCAAAGTTCCAGTCTTTGTCCAATTACTTTCATTACTGTGTTTAAACATGCGTTCCGCAAGAGTAGTTGAACCGTCACTTGATGTGCGAACAGACGCTCTGAGTACGCTTCGACCTTTGGCAGGAACCAAAAACGTGCTTTTCGAATAATCAAATTTTCAACAGTTTCTGCACTTGATGGAATGTGTTTTAGCGCTAAACGTTGGCTTTGACGGGACTACTAGTATCGGTTGTTTTAACCCCCCTCAAAAAACACTTGCCACCAAGTCAATTTCTGTTTTACATGCCATATTTCTTATACTACCGCATAACGTGTTTGTACGCGTTAAAACAAGCGGTAGCGACAGCTGACACCCGGCAGCCGTTTTCGAACGTGGGGCGTTTGCGACCCCCAACTGGGAAAGGGCCCCCAACTGGGAAGGGACCCCAACTGGGAAAAGCCCCCACGTAGGGAAAGGGGGGTTTTGGGCCCCAACTGGGAAAGGCCCCCAACGTAGGGAAAGGGGGGTTTTGGGACCCCAACTGGGAAAAGCCCCCACGTAGGGAAAGGGGGGTTTTGGGCCCCAACTGGGAAAGGACCCCCAGCGTAGGAAGGGGGTTTTGGGACCCAACGTAGGGAAAGGTTTCGGGTCAGTTGCTAAACCCAACTGCTGACCGCCGGAGGCATAAATAGATAGACTTCCCCTTCAACGTAAGAAATATGGAACGTAAACCTTTCAAATTCCAGCATCCTTGTTCTATTTTTGTGTTTTGTCAATCCTTGGGCGGTAAGACAACATGGACAATGACATTTCTCGAATATTTAGAAGCAATTCTAGACGGTCACGAAGAAATCCAAGATATTTACTACTTTACTGGGTCAAAACATGAAATTGAAGAAAAATATCCCGCAATGCCTTCCAATTTTCATATCTTTGAGGGTCCACCAAGCGACCAGCAAATCGAAAGCTTCAAAAATGCCATCGTAATCCTTGACGATTTGATGCTTGACATGAAAGAAAGCGTGATGGCGGCTTTGACTTCGCGAATTACTCACCACCAAAACTGTACACTAATTTTCCTAAGTCAAGACGCATTTCGGACCCGACGTACCGCCCGCATCAATGCAAACTACATTGTCCTTTTAAGATCTGTATCAGACCTACTACAAGCTCGTCAAGTAGGTCTACAGTGCTTTCCTAACCAATTTCCCTATTTCTGGGACAGTTATCTCGATGCCACTGCAAAACCTTATCAATATCTCGTAATCAATTGTCATCCAAATTTGGAAAATCGAAACGAACGTCTCGTTACAGACGTTTTTCCAGATAAAAGGCAAATTTTTTATCTACCCAAGTAGTCATTTTCAAAAATGCAAAGTCGTCCACACAACCTGCAAATTTTTCACAAAATTGCCAAAGCTTCAAACCCAAAAGTGGTGATTCGAAAAGCCACCGACAAAGAAATACAAACCCTTGTCGAATTTATTTACAACCTAACCATAGGTACCGTACCTCTCTATAAATACGAGAAATCAAACCTTCTACCACATTTGGCTACTTTGCAAACCTTGAGTAAGCTACGCGATTTTACAAAGGCGCGGCAAACACTTTTCCTTCACGAAAAACTACTAAAAGTTATTACGAAACCCGCGTTGGCATTTGAGAATGACAGCTTCGAGAAAAAGTTTCGAAAAGATGGTCCTTGTACCATATGACGAGCAGCAAGGTGAAGGTTATGCTCATACACCTCGTGAGAAAATTGTTGAGCAAGCCAAAGAAACTGAACAACAAATGGCAAACGTACTACAAAGTAAACTTCCCGATGATATGAAAATCCAAATGTATAACAAGTTTCTCAATTTCTTGACACAACTTGTCCAAGAAATTCGCAAGTTTGACCCCTTGCCGACACAAATTTTGGAAAACGACGACAGTTGAAAACCCCCAGAGATCAGACGGCCACGCAAAATACACAAAAGAAAGCCAAGGGCACTACAAAAAGGGCACCGCGAAAGGTTTTGCAACAAAATCCATATGAAAAAAGCTATAAACTTTTGGCAAAGCACGTCAAAACGGATAATAAGAATAGAATCTTGGATACGCAAGGTGAAACTATTGAAGGTAGCAACCTGTTTGAAATTGCAAGGGCGGCAGCCAGTGAAACCAAACGACCATTTCCCGTAGGTTACGAAGACGCCTATCACCAAGTGCAAGCAAAAACTCCACGACTTGTGAAACAATTGAACGAACCTGTCTTTACACCACGTACAATTCAAAGCATACAAAAGGAAATTTTTCCATCTAGCCAGACCACAACTAGTCCACCCTTGGCGACTGACGAAAAAGTTTCAAACAGTGACTTGGTCAAGCGCGTTAGACAACTTCAGCGGGAGATCCTAGAAAAGCGCAAATTGAAGGCCGAAGCCTGGGATGGCGATGACGAAGACCAAACCGGTAGTGGTACCAAAAAAAGGTTCAAAGTCGCAAAGTATCACTAAAATACTTGATCTTCTATATACCGACCCTGAGTCGAATATTGCTTTTACGTCAAGAAATAATCTTGTTGCAGAAGCTAAAAAATATGACATCACAAAGCGACAAGTTGATACATATCTGCAAACTAAAAATTCTTACATTCTACATAGACGAGTTCTACACAAGTTTCCCAGAAAAAAGTTTATTGGAACTAGCATGAACAGTCACCATGTCGCCGATCTTGCCGACTTTCAGAAAATTAAGCAATACAATGGCGGACAACGATATATTTTGGTTGTTGTCGATCTGTTTTCGCGAAAAACCTACGCCAAACCTCTACTAAACAAGAAACCTCAAAGTGTGAAACGACGTTTTGAGCAAATTTACAGAGAAATCGGTGATCCTCCATACTTTTTGACGACAGATCAGGGCCTTGAGTTTACCGGTGCACCAATGAGACGATACCTCAAAAATAATGAAATTCGTCACATTTTAACAAAGGGAATCGCTAAGGCAGCACCAGCCGAACGTAAAATTCGTGATCTAAAGTCGCGCATCTACAAATATTTCACCGAAAACAACACTTACAATTGGGTTGAAGTGCTACCGAAAATTGTTGAGGGCCTGAACAATACGCCAACAGAACCCCTAAAAGGGTTGACACCTAACGAAATGAAACGCGACACAATCATACAACCTGATGGTACGCCTAAATTGCGAAAACCGGACCCGCCGCTAGCACTAAACGACTATGTCTTGCTAAAAAAACGCCAAGTGGTGTTTCGAAAGCTTACAAAGGCACGTTTTCTGGCGAAGTGTTCCAAATTAAACGCATAGTCAAACCTGCAAATTTCTCTGCACCAGTCTTTTATCTAAAGACATCGCAGGGGTCTCCCTTCGACAAGTATTCTACAAAGAAGAACTGCAAAAGTGCGACAACCAAAAATGTACCAAGTGGAAAAAGTTTTGCGTACAAAGGTCATAAATAGGCAACCTCACAGCTTTGTCAAATACCACAAAAACCTGGTGTATTTAATGGTTGGGTACCCGCAAAAAAAGCCTCATTTACACGGACAAACTTTGATAATGGAAGAACTGCTCAAACCGCTCATCGACCACCTCACAGTACCGCAATAACATTCACATGGCATGGGCTAGAATTGTCATCATTTTTCTCATTGCTATAGCATGTCTCGCTAACATGACAATTGCCCATATAAAGGGCAACGATGTGACAGTGTATAAGTGCTACCCTTTCTGTTGCCTGTCTGTTGGTACCATCTCCCCTTGAAAAGCAAAGCCATCAAAGGAAATGAGTGAAGACTTTTACGTAACACTCGTAGGTCCAGGGCGTCGTGAAGGAAAAGGTTCCAGTTTTGTCACACACCTCGCGAAAGAAATCAACCTCTATCAAACGAATGGTCAGCAAGGTTATTGGACTTGCGCCCTTGTCGACTTTGCAGCCTCAATGTCATGGGACCAAGTCCCTGAACCGCAAAAATTTAGACTATGTGTCCAAAGACGCCAAAGAAACACACCTTTGGCTAGCACAAGGCACTTACTCAACCCCCCCTGCTCGACTAATCAACGCTCTAAACGCCATGTCTTTACCAAAAACTCTAAAAAAAAAACGCGAAGCCCTTTAGTGCCTGAAAATGTGCAACCTGCAAACCTTCCCAAAAATAGTCCCACTCGGTGCACCAAGTGCAGAACCCGAAAACCAGCTAGGCCACCACCGCTCCCCCCCCAAGCCCCTGACACGCTACCACCCCAAGCTCCCGCACCGCCACCAAAACCTCCCACACCACCACCACCAAAACCTCCCCACACCACCACCACCAAAACCTCCCACACCACCACCACCAAACCTCCCACACCACCGCCACCCAAACCTCCCACACCACCACACACCCCAACCCGCTGTTGAGCGTCAGCACAAACACCCTGCCAAACAGAAAAACCAGCCACAACACCTCCCCAAAAGCAACTGAAAACACAGTTGCAGTACCAGCAACACCAAAACCAGCGCAACCTCAAGCACAACCCACAAACGCTGCAAACAATCGCC